TTTTGGTATTCCGGTATCACTCTTCTTTGCTTGGGATTCCTGTCCTTTTGGTATGCCGGAATCACTCTTCTTTGCTTGGGATTCCTGTCCTTTTAATATTCCAGCATCACTCTCCTGTCCTTGGGATTCCTGTCCTTTTGGTATACTAGTATCACTCTTTTTTACTTGGGAGTCCGGTCCTTTTAGTATTCCTGTATCACTCTTCTTTACTTGGGCTTCCTTTCCTTTTAATATTCCAGCATCACTCTCCTCTACCTTGACCTCTGTTTCTATCTTGTCTTTTCCCAACTCAGTGCTTTTTGCTTTTCCTATTGACTCCTTTTTGCTTCTTGATATCAAGGATCCCTCAGAATCTGCAATTGTGACTTCTTTTATTAATGTTTTCTTGCTTTCCTCTTGGCTACTCTGAGCCTTTGTAATGCTTCCACTTTTTAGAATCCGGGCTTTGGGATCTGATTTTTTTGCAAGTTCTCCATCCATGTAACCTGGAAATATAACTGAGCACACAACAAAAGTGCATGATTCAGATATCAAGTATTTTTTGTTTATTCCTATATTTTTCCTGATATTGATTTCTTTTTCTTTTGTCTAAAACTGATAAACTGGAGGTAACTTGAAATTTTCCTGAAAATATAAAATGGTGGAACTCTACACATAAAATTATATAAGTAGTGATAAAATTCCAGACTCTTTTCAATAAATTGGAAGATAAATGAGAGAAAAGGTGAAATGTACTATAAGTGAACCGACATTTGTTCAGTAGATTATGGCTAATGAATAATGCCTAATGGCTAAAGGAAGATGTATTCTGAAAAATAGAATTTGGTTTTAGAAAAAATTGTGGAAAGAAGCAAAAATTATTTCTTAAAATAGAAAAAGGAAACTCAAAATATGCTTTCTATATTGAATAAAAGCACATCTATCTCACTATGCAAAAGTTAATGGTAGTACTAATTGATACTTACTGAGTGCTTACTATATCTGTTCTAAGCACTTTCCATGTATTAGCTCATTCAATCCTCACAACAACCACATAGAATAGGGTAGGATAACTATTATTATCCCTGTTTTACAAATGAAGAAACTGAAGCATATAGACTTTCAACGAATGCGTACATGGTCATGTAACTAGTAAGTGGTAGAGCTGAGATTTGAACCTGAGTAGTCAGACTCAGAGTTCAGCTTTAACCATCACCCAAGACTGGTTCTTACAATATCTGCTAACTCACTTTGCAGAAATTTCAGGTCCTTTTTTATCATGTGCAGCTATCATGCACATAATCAGCTGTAGTATGTTTCCATTTTTGTGTGATCTAATAAACGTGAATTTGTTTTCTTCCGTGTTTTTTCAGTAATTTGACTCCCTGAATTACATTAAAAAATTTCTATGCTACCAAGGAGAATTGTGTGAATTCTTTCTGTGGAGCTGAGGTACACCCTGCTTTGAGGAAACCAAATATTTAATGCAGTAGAAAGAACACTGAATTTGAAAGCTGAATCAGAACATGTAGGTTTACTACCCCATGCTAGCTGGGTTTATTTGGGTAAATCAGTTAACCCCCAGGACTTACTTTCCTCTTATTTAGTCTGCTCTGACCACTTTATAGAGTTACTGAGAGATTCTAGACATATGTTTAAGGAGCATGGCCTTTGGAGACAAACTGGTTCAAATCCTGGCTCCACACCAAACTGGCTAGGTGGACCTTGGGCATCTATAAAATGGGGGTAATAATAGTAGCTAGCTCACAGAGGGGTTGTGAGGATTAAATACTATCACATAAATAAACATTCAATATAGTACATGGAACATAGTAAGCAGTCAATAAATATTAGCTATTACTACTACCAAATGCAAGCAAAAACTCTCTCTGATCTATCAAGACAAGGCATTCTTAGTTTGAAATAAATAATTTAGCGGAGTAGTTAATTGCATTACAAGAAGATTTCTTGCTTAAAAATTAATTATTGGAGTGTTTTTTACATAGAAAGCTTTCTGGTACATTTAGGGTTTGATGTTTGTAAAACTGACATGCACCTAACTTTAGAATTTTATCAGTTGTAAAAAGTGAGGCACACCTGCACTAGATAAGAAGGTAATTATAAATTACAAGGGGTATTGTAGTTCAGTCTTCTTTGGCTTTTCTCTTTGGTATTTTAAGCTTTTGACACCACTATAAAAATAACATTAGGAATCTTGCAGTAATGCTTTCTGAACCCTTTTGTGTAATTTTCCCTTTAGTGTTGTTCATTAAGCTATGGGTACAGATTTTTTTTTCTACAAAAACCCATTTATAATTTTCTAAAGAAAATAAGTAGTAATATATTCTAATCATTGCTGTATTGTGAAAGATAGCACAGAATATTTTGATCTCTAATAGTGCTATCAACGGACACTGTTTTATTTTGTCTGAGGAGAGGTGGTGTGGTGTAGAGAAGAGCATGTTTTTTCATTGAAGCTTCTAACCTTAAGCGTTCCATGATGTGTACTCCTCAAACAAGCTGATTTTTCTTAACATATGAATATTTTTAGTTTTACCATCTCTTGGTGGGTAATTTATTTGATGTTTACTACTGTGTAAAATATACATCACCCAATTTTTTAAACCTAAGTTTACCTTCTAAACTCTATAGATTTTGTTAATCAAAATTAAGTATTCTAGGACTTAATGAAACAGTGTTTACGCTAGCTATGCTTTTCCTAATCTTATAGAATTTTAAAGAATTTTATCCTTTTTCCCACTACACTGAAAAATATTTTTAGTCACTTTTAACCCTATGGTGTGCAATTCTACTCTGCACTCATAGGGTGGTCATGAGTCAGAATCGACTTGATGGCAATTAACAACAGTAGCAACAATTAGTATCTTCATACCCTTGATCATTTTACTATCTTCTCTGCATCTTTTCTATCTTGAACTTAATTAACAGAAATTAGATTTTCTAGGATATATTTTCAGGAACATAGCTCTTCTATAAAATGAGATTCACTTTTATTTCAACTTTGCATTGCAAAAGTTAGTCACAGAAAATTATCCCACCAAATTCTAAGTCGTTCTCTCCCTTCCTTTGCCAGATCTCAAGATAGCATATAATCTTTTTCTCCTCAAACCTTATAATCTTGCTATAATTAATTACATTGTAAATCTCCATAATATAAAGATTTGTAAACTCTGTGAAATTTGCAACTCCATTTATGCAGGCCATAGCCCATACAACAAAATTCTAATATAATCAAAAGATTTAATCAAGCTTTTGGAGATCATTGTAAAGTATTCAGGATTAAAAATTAATGATGAAAAAATTTAAATTGCATTAATTTTGTTAAAGCAGAAAGATATCATGAATTAAGTGTTGTGTTACTAATTGTAAGTATATGAAAATTAAAATAATGTAGAATATAGACTATGTACTTTATTAGGAACTAATCTAACAGTTTCTTTATCCAGTGGCTGGCAGGCAGTGCATAATCAGATCTAGACTCTAAAAGATCTGTTAAGCATCAGAGAGATGAATCATTATAATTCTCAGGCCATGAGTTAACATTTTTAAAGATCATCTACTTATTAGCTGAATGTGGAGGTGAGAAATAAAAGGCTCAACTTGAGAAGATGGTAATATCTGAGGGACTGATCTGCTTTAAATCTTTCTATGGACATTGAACTAAGCTTTAATCTCCTTCAAAAAAATCAGTTGGGAAGAATACATTTGAAGATTATATCAACAAGAGTATTTTTTTAATAAGAAAATATATTTTTTAATTAAACTGATTTTTTTCTGGCAACTTTAAAAAATGTATTCACTTAATTCATTTCCAGGAAGGGACTTGGCCTGTTATCTCTCCTCAGAGCCCCCTTTCTTTTTGTAAAGGAAACACACAAGATCACAGTCCTATCACCTTCCCTACATGGGGAGGGTGCGTGAGGGACGTGTGGTGGTCTGAGCCCTTTCAGGTCCTCCAGACACATGAGTGTTGCTCTGAATGAATACTGGTTCTTATATACTGTGAATTAAAAGAAAATAATTGTCCCTTTCAACCTCACCCTCTCTTCCTGAAACCCACTTTCTTTCTAGGGCTAACTAAGAAAAAATGAACGGGGCTTAAACATGATTAAATATAAAGACATATTTTGTGTTTGTCAGTGATTGGAATGTTTGAGATGCTTGAAATGGGCGTCACTACATTTAAGTCTTACTTGTTTCGTAAGACTATATATTTACAGTTTTAAAACAGTATTATTCTGTTTTGTTTTGTATGATTTCCTTGAAGAACTGAGCCATGCATGAAATAATTCTGTTTACAGAGCAATCTAAATTTAGAAAACAGTTAAAAGTCAAACATTAATTTGAATGGGAATCCTTCTATTTTTAAAAGTACTTTTGTGTACATTTAATTGTCCCGCTTCTCTAGTAGCTGTATATTTATATTTATAAACATTTGATTTATAGATAAAGTTTCGTGACTAATCACAAAAAAAGGCATTTGTGGTTCAGTACAGGAGGCAATGTGTTGGTATGAAAACAGTATGCCCTTCAGAGACAGGAAGTCTTGAGTTTGAATGTTGACGCTGATGTTTACCAACTTTTTAACTTTAGGCAAATGTCTGTCCAGTTTCCTGATCTGTGAAGTGGGGATAATAATAGCTACTGGGCATGGCTATTATAAGAATAAGAGATTATGTTTTTGAAAGTGCTTAGTACACTACACTATATATAGTAGGTGTTCAATACTTACTGTTCCTCAAAGGTAAAAAGCAACAGATTTGATGAGATTTTGTTCTTAGTTTTTTTTTTTTCTCCTATTAATATGATTCAGTGGGCCTTCATTTATAACTAAAAATGGTTTTAAATTTCAGCCAGGAACTAATGGCATTCAGAAACTCATCTTTCCTTCATTATATTCTGCTGGGAGTCAGTGAGGAGATTGCTTTTCAGAGTCTAGAATACGGCCAGAGATTATGGCATCCTTTCAGATGAACTTCATCTCCTCTATATAAACCTCTCCAAAAAAAGTTATTTAAAATCTTGGAAGATTCTGGAAATTGGGGCCTTTAAAATAACCTTAGAAGCATGAGCCTCTATTTTGGGAGTAAAATCCAGGCTAGAAAGCATACAAACAATGTAAAATAGAGTTGAGAATAAACAAGGAACTTACCCAGAGGAGATAGTGCTAAAAATAAAACACAAAAAAAGATCAGTGAATATTTTCTAACTCAAAGACAACCCAGCCCCCAGTGATGCCTCTTCTACATGAATGCAGAAGCAGGACGTCTGGGGAGTATAACCCTCTGTTTTATCCTCAGTGAAATACAGTAGCAGAAGTGCTGCTGGCCAAAGCTTCCCCATCTCATTTCACAGAAAGGAATTTGTTTAGGATGTCATTTAGCAAAGTGTATGGGATTGAATTGTTGGGTAAGTAATATCTATTCTACTGAAAACTGAACTATTACATTTCCTACCTTTCTTTGTTTTTTTCCAAGTCAGACTTTTACCACTCTCCTTCTGATCAGTTTGAAAATGTGTATTGTTGGTTAATTATCAAAATTGACGTTTATTCTTTATGTCAATTTTATTGTTGTTTTTGGGTGCTGTCAAGTCAGTTTTTGACTCATAGTGACCCCATGTGACAGAGTAGAACTACCCCATAGGGTCTTTATCCCACAGAGCAGAACTACCCCATAGGGTCTTTCTCCCACAGAGCTGCTGGGTGGGTTTGAGCCGCCAACCTTTTGGTTAACAGCCTGGCTGCTTAACCATTGTGCCGCAGGACTCCTTTGTCAGTTTAAAAATAAAAATTATCAGCTGCCAGATTATAGCACAGAGAAAACAAGCTTCCTTGTGATAGACGATATGGGAATTTAAGCTGCCAGAATCATAGTGACGCTGTAGGACAGAGTAGAACTGCCCCATAGCGTTTTCAAGGAGCAGCTGGTGTATTCAAACTGCTGACCTTTTGCTTAGCAGCCGAGCTCTTAACCACTGTACCTCCAGGGCTCCAGAATCAAATATAAGACTATTATATGTTGTTACAAAATGAAAATAGATAAGGGAATCAAAATGGAAATATGAGGAAACCACTTACTTAACAAACATTGACTGCTCTAAGGCAGATGAACTTGGAATACAAGAAAATTTGGGAATAAGAGCTTAAAGGTTCTATTTAGACATAGAAATAGGTAAGGTAAGGGAATGACCCCCCAGACCCAAACTTACTGATTGTTCCAGAACTGTCCACTGAAAGAGACAAAGACACACACATCAGTAGATATTGTTGGGCATTCTCATCTTCCCCAATCCTTAAGCCTCTGCATTGGATGAAACCTATGTCATGAATAATCCTGAACCTCCATTTCTCTTCCTCCTTTTCTTGGCCTGTTGTAGTTTAGGAAGTCTTGTGACAAGCTACTTTAAATATTATTGAAGCTAATCACCTTTACTTTTAATTAATCATTAGCAATTTTGTCTAGAGTTTCAAGATTACAATTTAGAAAATATGAGATGTACTGCATAATGGTCTGATTTAGAGGATGCATGCTAATACTATCCTTTGACATTGTTTAATATAAACTATTTAAGGTACATTTGTGACCAGGTACTGTAATGTGCGTGTATCTCTTGTGTTGATGTTTCTTAATACACCTAGCACGAAAAGCACAAAATAAGAAGAAAGTATAAAATTTTTGAGAAACACTATACCCAGGATTATGTTTACCAGGGATAAAAATGAGGAGTTAGGCTATTTAAATCCTGTAGCAGTGGTTGGCCAAAGCACAGACCACAGGAGAAATCCAGCCAGCTGCCTGTTTTTGTACATCCTTTAAACTAAGAATGGATGTTATATTTTTAAGTAGTAGAAAAAAATAAGAATACTGTTGTATGACAATTATATGAAATTCAAATTTCAGTGTCCACAAATAAAGTTTTGTTGGGATGTATCCGTGCGCTGATTTTTTTCTATATTGCCTATGACTGCTTTTGGGTTACAACAGCAGAGTTGGGTAGTTGTGACAGACCGTCTGGCCTGCAAAGATTAAAATATGTATTATTTGGTCCTTTACAGGAAAAGTTTGCTCACCCTTCCACTAGAGGAAATTAAAGAGTCATTGGGTTTAGAAATAGATTAGGAATTTACTAGTGGGAACTTGAGATATTCCTGAAAATCAAACCAAGAAGCTAGATTAATGATAGAATTTTTTTGGGTCAGAAATACAGTGCTCCTTACTTACATCTCCCCAACCATTCTTATAGGGTACCATAAAGACCCCTAGCAGGATATAATGAAATATGATGGGAGAGCAGATTCCTTGGTGTGTTATAAGAACCTGATACTCCTCACCACCTTTATGACTCTGTCCATGGTCCAAGTTACTGTAACCTCTTTAACTGCTCTCTGCATGCACACTTGCCCCTCAGTCAATTCCCAATACAGCAGCGAGAGGCATCCTTTTAAAATATCATCAGATCAAGTCACTCCCCTGCTTAACAACCACCAATGGCTCCCCATCTTGCTCAGAGTCAGTGGCTTTCAAGGAAGACTCTGGAAGATCTGTCCCTCCATAGCTCTCTGATAACTTCTATTTCTTTCATTTTTCATTTTGCTGTAGCCACGCTTGCTTTCTTGTTTTTCCTCAAATAGTCGGGAAATGCTTCTACTCCAGCGTGGCTCACTTGCTGTCTCCTCTGCCAAAATATTCTCCTCTCAGATATCCATTCCACATGGCTATATTTTCTCATCTCTTTCATGTTTTTCTCAATTGTCAGCTTTGTGAGACTTTCCCTGTCACCCCTTTTAAAATTTCCAATTCTCTCCCCTCCACTCTCTATTTCCTTACTCATTTCTACAGACATTAATACCTTCTATAATCCATACCAAACCAAACCCATTGCTGTTGAGTCGATTCCGACTCACAGCAACCCTATAGGACAGAGTAGAACTGCCCCATAGGGTTTCAAAGGAGCAGCTGGTGGATTCGAACTGCTGACCTTTTGGTTAGCAGCTAATCTCTTAACCACTGCTCCACCAGGGCTCCAACACCTTCTATAAACCCTATATTTTACTCATTTCACCTGTATTAATGTCTCTCTTCCCTCGCTTCCACTTCACCTACCACAAGTTCTATGAAGGCAAGGATTTTTGCTGTATTCCCAGTGTTTAGAGCAGAACCTGGTTTTAAATGATGTTCAAAAAATCTGTGTCGAATGAACAGCCTAATCCTATAACTTCAGTGTTACCACTATCTTCCCTAGATTAGTCATCTTTTTCTACACTTTGCTGCCTCCCACTTTTCTATTTCCTGTCTCTCTTTCTTTGTCCCATTATCATCCTTTCCTTGCAGACAGTAAATGAAAGATACTTACCTATGGGTTCTATAGTTCCTTTTTTCTTTTATTGTGGCAAATATATATATATAACAGAACATTTGCCATTTCAACATTTTTGACATATACAGTTCAGTGACATTATGTTCATCGTGTTGTGCAACCATCACCACTATCCATTTCCAAATTTTTCTATCACTCTTAACAGAAGCTCAGTGACCCCTAAGCTATGACTTCCTTTTTCCTCTTCCCTCCCAATCCATACATTTGCTTTATCTAGACATTTCACATAAGTGGGATCATACAGTATTTGCCCTTTTTTGACTGGTTTGTTTCACTCAGCATAATGTTTTCATGGTTCATCCATACTGTAGTATGTATGTATCAGGACTTCATTTCTCTTGATGGCTGAATAATGTTCCATTGCATGTATGTAGCACATTTTGTTCATCCATTCATCTGTTGCTGGACATTTAGGCTGTTTCCACCTTTTGGCTATTATGAATAGTGCTACAATTCTTTTGGGTATATATCTAACAGTGGAATTGCTGAATCATATGGTAATTCTACATTTAACTTTTTAAGGAAACTCCAAACTGTTTTCCGCAGAAGCTGTACTGTTTTACAGGTCTTACTAGCAATGAAAATGTTTCAATTTTTCCACATCTTTGCCAACACCTGTTATTTTCCGTTCGTTTGATCACAGTCATCTTGTGTGTGTGTGTGTGTGGTGGGGGGGTGGTGAAGTGATATCTCATCGTGGTTCTGATTTGCATTTCCCTAATGACTAATGACATTAAGTATCTTTTCATGCACTTGTTGGCTATTTGTATTTCTTCTTTGATGAAATGTCTATTTAAGTTTCAGTATCATTTGCTGAGGACTACATTTCCTTCCTCCTTTGAATTTCTTTTGTGCATTTGCAAAAAATTAACTGGGTGCATCTGTGTTGGTCTGTTTCTAGACTCTCTATTCTGTTGTATTGATCCATGTTTCTGTACCTTCTCCAATACCACACTGTCTTGTCAACTGTAGCTGTACAATAAGTCTTAATATCAGATAGGGTGATTCCTCCCACTTTATTCTTCTCAAAATTATTTTAGCTATCCTACATTATAAATTTTAGAATAAGCTTGTATATAAAAAAACCAAAACCAAACCCGATGCCATTGAGTCAATGCTGACTCATAGGACAGAGTAGAACTGCCCCATAGAGTTTCCAAGGCTGTGATCTTTACAGAAGCAGACTGCCACAGCTTTCTGGCATTGGTGGGTTTGAACTGCTTACCTTTCGGTTAGCAGCTGAGTACTTAACCACTGCACCACCAGGGCTCCTAAGTTTGTATACAGCTACAAAAAATTTTTGCTAGAAATTTGATAGGAATTGAATTAAACCTATAGATCAAGTTGAGGAAGTTTACATCTTTACCATATTGAGTCTTCCAATTCATGCACACTTTTTGTCTCTCCATTTACTTATATCTTTGATATCTTTCCTCAGTGTTTTATAATTTTAAGCACACAGATCATATACATGTTTTATGAGATTTATACCTAGGCATTTCATTTTTTTGAGGCAATTGTAAATAGTATCATATTTTAAATTTTGGTTTCCACATATTTGTTGTTAGTAAGTAGGAATATGATTGATTTTTGTGTGTTGATCTTATATTCTGTAACTTGCTGAACTCACTTATTAGTTCTACAAGCTTTATTTGCGGATTCCTTGGGATTTTGTACATATACAATTGTATCACTTACAAATAGAGATAGTTTTATTTCTGCCTATCCAATTTATATACCTTGTATTTTCTTTTCTTGCCTTATTGTGTAGGCTAGGGCTTCCAGTAC